TTGCAAGGTAAACATTTTATTATATTCATCTCTGGGCCAAAGCAAGATTGATATGAAATATCAACCTTGACAGATACTTCTGTCTTATAGTTATTTCTGAAGCATTCAGTGACAGATGATCTTTCCTCTCCAGCCGACTGGAGTGTTACTTTGTGTTGGTCATTTGTTTTCATGTCTGCTGCGGTATTAGCTGCCTGAGATGCTCTTCAGGGCAATTTAAAGCAACACGCACACATTACATGGGCATGAACCAGAGATCAGTGCGTGAGCGAGAGACCACTTTTGGCTTGTAATGTATTTTTCCATCTAGAGTCAGGATGTCAGAAAAGACATTTACAACGACACTAGAAATCATCAGGTTATCAAAAACGTGTGCTTCTCTTCTCACGATGTCATAATACCGTGTGAAGCCTGTTCTGTAGTGTTAGCCCAGCCAAATTCATCCTTCATAAGTGTACCTGCAAGTCCATCCTCCTCTCACTGAATGAGCAACACTGTTTTCTCCAAAACAATTCACAGGGCATGAATACATGTGTCATAGTAAACAAATCTAATGGCAAATTACAATAAACTAAATATGAATTTGTGGAATTTTTATCTGATGACTCAGACACGCTAAAAACAACATTTCTGTCCCCACAAAGTCATTTTAAGTCTAACACAGGAAATACCGTAGCTTCTTCTTTCTCTGACTGACCAATATAGCGCTTTTAATAATTAAACCATAAGCCATTTCCTCCTTCATGAGAAAGAAATTCATGATGTCTCCCCGTCTCTTTGTTGTTTGTCGGGATGCCGTTTTTGTTCAGTTTTCTTTTAATTTTTTTTGCCCCCCCAAAACTTATATATGGTATAAGCATATATGGTGACCCAGGGCATCAGATCCCGCCAGTAGCCTACATCTGAGGAAGCGCTGTCCGACATCAACGGCACGGGGAACGCTTCGTGTCTCCCGCCGTCTCCGAGAGAGGCTGTCTGAGAGACTATGCCGCCATTAAAGCTGGTCTCGCAGAGCTGGAGGTCCTGGGCTTTGTTCTCCCGAGATGAAAAAGCCGCCGACATAATGCACCTTTTAAGTCCAGGTGCGTCTGCACGTTTTTTCCATGCCGTCCCGTCCCTGTGCCTTGACGGGTCATACATGTTTCAAAAAGTAAAAATAAACAGATGTCTCCAAAGGATGATTTGCCCCGCAGCAAAATGGATAGATGGGGGGGGGGGAATGGTCAGTGCAGCAGACCCAAGTCAGGATCAGAAGTGACAGTAGGCCTTCTTGGTCTCCAGAGATCTCTGGATGATGATCAAAGACAATGCATGAAGGGGATCTTTTAAATTGGCAACTGGGAAAAATTTGCACATCAGTAAGAAAGCGGAAGTTAATGGGAGAAATTAGCTTATCAGCAGTACAAGGTGAGATAAGCTTAAGGGTGCTTGTTGACAGACTGTAGTCATCAGTAATTGAAAGTTAATAATGCCTGGTTAGTTTTCATAGCCTAACTGGTGAAGTTAGCGGTTCAGAATGTTGTGCTTCCCGGCATATAACTCACAACCTTCACAGCTTCATGCAAACCTCAAGGTTTATTTCTGCATCAACTAGTCCTAAGATCTGGGGCCTGGATGATGAAGCTGGAGTTATGGGTGAGCAGGATAACTTGATGGATTTAAGGAAGAATTCTCAAAATGTAAGTGAATGTATATAAAGTCCATTTAAATTGGAGCACCTTAAATCCGACAAATTATCCAGCTAAACAACAAATCTTACTTTGTGATACAGGTGGCAGCAAAGTACTGAATTTTGTATGAACAAAAATCTTCCTTTTAGACATTGTGGAGTGTGACATTTATTATTAATAAATAAAATATACCTAAACTCCGTTAAGTGGTTGGAAGCAGGATGGATAAAATGCCTGTCATCTCACGTGTACTTGTTTCAATCTGGATTTTGATGGAAATTATCTGTTGATGCAAACAATGAACTTCAACAACAATGTTACCAAGCGAGCCCAGACGTAGACTGCTTTGTCTTTGGCGGGTCGTTGAAGACTGCCTCCAAGCAGGAGCACAAAGAGCTTTGCGGCATTTTCATGGAGCTCTTGGTGAATCTCGGTATGTGTACTTGACCATGCTTGTGTTTTACATCATCTTCTATTGCCAAACACAAGAACATGAGGACGGCAAAAATGCCCGGATGTCATTCTTGCCCCGCCCTAAATGTCAAGCATTCATCGGTTGCATCCTCACCAAATGAGAACAGTCCCACAATTCAACCCCCCTCCCCCAAGTTTTCCAAGTTTTTGGAAGGCATATTCGCAGCACCGGTCTTGCTAAGACCACGAGTACGGGTTTTGCGTTCTTGGTATTGAGATTCACCCTCTGTTTTGGCCCTTAGCACTATGGGCACCTCAGTGGCCTCAGGAAGCAAGATCGTTTGCTTAACCAGATAACTTCTTGGATTTATGGTAGTTCAGGCTAAATGGACTTAATCTCCATTCACTTTGGATTTAGCCCAGACAACCATAAATCCAACAAGTTTTGGGGCTAAGCAAAAAATCCTGCTTCGTGAAACAGGTCCCAGTTTCTCTAGGGTTAGGGTTAGGGTTAGGGTTAGGTTTAGGGTTAGGCACCAAAGCTCTCTGTGAGACTCCAGCATCGACTCCCCTCCTCATTGCAGCTCCATATTTATGCTTGTTTTCATATTGAGTCGTGCTGGGGCCACTTCCCACGTCTCTCACTCACCCATGTGAAGTTATTTCCCCTCTCATCAAGCCTCCTTACAGCAGGAACCATTAGTTCTGTTCCTTCGTACAAAAAGCACTTAATAGCAGCTGCAATTAAGCAAATGATTATGTTTGCACTCCGTTGAGCGCCACATGAAAGCTTCACTGAGGTTGCTGCGTTAGGTAGTAATGAACTTTGCGTCACCGCTTCTGGGCATCGCCGTCGTCAATAAGCAGAAGTACCATCCTGTCGTATTAACTGGACGTCTCAATTAAACTTCTGCCTTCGAAAGGAAAGTGTAGCTAATATGTCTGTTTTCACCCCCGCTGTCTCATTAAGCTGCCATTGGCTATATTTAATTCCCTGCATCACCAAGACCTTGGTGTAAAATTAAAGCATCAAGATGTCTTTTCGGAGCTTGGAAGCAGATTTATGTCACCTTATTTGATGGACATTAGCATGCATACAAATTACAGCAGCTTACAAATTACTGTGTTGCATTGCACATAATTGCCGTTAGACCTAAAACCTATTGGTTCATGGAATCAAGGAGATTTTAAAGGTAAAATTAGATAAGAATCAGTATGATTATTATAAGGGTGGCGTGGTGTCTCTGCGGGCAGCGCTGTTACCCCCCCCCCGTCATGCATGTTCTCAATGTATCGCCTGGGTTCCACCAGCAGTCCAAACACATGCAGTTAGATATGATGGTGTCTCTACTTTGTGTGATGCAGGATGTTCCCCTGCTTTGTGCCCAATGGGATAAGTCCCAGGTTTCCATGAGACCCGAACCAAGGTACGTAGTTGGAAAGTGGAAGGACCATAGTTATGTCCTCCCTGCCAAATATTGTGAAATATGAAGCATAAAATGCCATAAATATAAAACAAAACAAACAAAAAAATCTGCATTGTGTTTTTTCTTTCGTTTGATTTTTATTGTCCATGAAATCTTCCACATTATATTTGTTGCCATATGAAACCCAAGAGCTGCTTTAAGTATATCTGTACATGTTAAGGTAAAACAACCTAAAATGCACTGAAATGCGGTGGGATGCTAAGGAGGAAGTTGGAACTGGTTACTTTCAAATTAAAACGCTCATGTTAAAATTTAAAGCTACGGCGTCCCATCTTTGTGCTCCGACTGAAAGTAGAGCGGTTTCCTATGTCACTCTGCGTGTCATTTCCATTACAGCAGATCAGTGCTTTTATGAGAAACATGATTTCTTTTTTGCGCTTTCTTATCACCTGTTTTCCATAAAAATATAAAAACAGCTGCGATCAGTAAAACATCAAACAGCTCTTGAGATTAAAACCTATATACGCACATTGCGTGCTGAGTGAAGAGATGCACTTGTCACAGTAATAATTAATGATTAATTAAAGATTAATGAAGTAATAGGCCTACAATAAATATAAATAACTTAAATTTCACCTTCTCTTAATAAATATTCTAAATAAAAATATTAACAGAGGCATTAAAGGAAATCGATGCTTTATTTACAAGATAAAAGCACAGATTTTACGTAGGATGCCATGTATGTATTAAATCTCCATCTTTTACATGAAACAAATTTATTTATTCATCCTAAATGTTCCCATTAACAAATAGCCTGCAATGGGCTTGGTGTATACCTGCTTATGTACACAACATACGAAAGACATACAAATTAACACAAACATGCCATATATAAGATTATTTTTTTTGCGCTTCAGCTAGCATAAAGCAGTCTTTTGGTCTCAAAATTAATTGTGCACAAAGCCAAACACAATGACATTATTCGTTTGCCAATCGTATCACCAGTAAGACGACTTATATGTGTGCGAGCAAAAGACGTCTTCACTAGTTTTGTGCACAATTCGAGACCATCTCGCAATGCATTCATTTCTCATTTATGGCTTCTCTGAAGTCAGACACAATCACTACAATCAATACATCTTCTCAGAAGTGTCACAAATCAATGTAAATAGAAATTAAAAGAATGTTTCAAAACAACTAATTCTTGCCTGTGCGATGGATCATGTCCTTGTAGAAGGTACTCAAATTTCTCATGAAATACAGAGTGTACAGTTTTCTAGGTGATACCGTACCATTATAAAATTTAATATTATATTACACTACACGTTTATCAAATAGTCTAAAGTTAATACTTATATATCTAACTCCAAGTTATTATTAAACAAATATTGTTTTTAACAATAAGTCGCCGTTATAATTTTTTTTTATCACATTTCTACTTTTACTTGTATTTTATCCTACCTGTTTTGTCTCTTAAACTGTTATTTAAAATAAAAACTGCAGCTTCAAGTTTCTGTGCCCATGTTCTGTAAAGTACTTCCTCTACTTCATTTTGGCAGAAGCTGCTTTTAATTCTTTGTATACTTATGGCGCGTAGTAACTTTGACGTAACATGGAATGCATATAGACAGCTCTATTCCCCTATCTGACCGGGAATTGCATAACAGGCGTTGCTTCCAGTCGAATTAAATGGCAGCATGTCCAAGGAAATTTCGGCTTCGCACTCAAACTGGACAATCGCGGGAAGCAGTAAATTTGTGTGATTGCGGGACGTATCGGAGATGACGGAGACTTTATCAAAGAGCTGCTCCGTATCCTCCCCGTTATTTGACGCTACTGGTGGCAGCTGCGTCGCGGCGAACATTATGGGGGCATCTTTGTGTAGCGTGGTGTCGTGGTGATACGAAACCAGCTCGTTGCTTAAATTAACAGCTTCCACCGTGGCACTGGAGCAGAATCGGTTGCAGCCCAGGATTGTTGAAAACGCTTTCCTGAAATCTGCATTGAAGGCGTAGATCACGGGATTCAGCGACGAATTCGCCCAACCGAACCATGCGAAAATGTTAAAAGTCGTGCCACTTACGCACAAGGGGCCCCCGAGTTCGGTCAGGTCGCAAAAGGGCACCATGCAATTCAGCACGAAAAATGGCAACCAGCAAAATACAAACACTCCCATGATAATCGAGAGGGTTTTTAAAACCTTTGTTTCTTTTTTGAACGTCGTTTTCAGAGATGTGTCGTTGGAACAATCGCTAGGATGCTGGTGATTCTGCGCCTGCTCCACCGCCCTCTCCAACGAAGATATCCGTCTAATTTGCGTCTGGGCGATTCGGTAAATCCTTGTGTAGGTGCCAACCATAATGACAACTGGGATGTAAAAACTTATCAGCGACGATGATATCGCATATGTCCTATTTAAAGTGGCGTTGCAGTCTTCGGTCTGATTGCCGGTGTTAGAAACGTTGAACTCCTCCTCGGCTTTGTGCCAGTTCAGCTGCACAGGTATAAATGAAATGAGAATCGATAAAGTCCAAGCCACCCCGATCATGATGAAGGCCACCCGCTGTGTCATCTTTCGCTCGTATCTGAAAGGGCTTGCGATGGCCCAGTATCTATCCACACTTATGATACAGAGATGTAAAATAGACGCGGTGGAGCACATTATGTCAAAAGCTATCCATGTCTCACAGAAGCTCCCAAAGAGCCAATACCCCGCAACCTCAGAGACGGCTTTCCACGGCATCACAAGAACAGCCACAAAGAGGTCAGACACAGCCAGAGATATCACAAAGAAGTTAGTCACTTTGGATCTTAGATGCCTGAATTTGATAACCGCTGCGCAAACGAGCGTGTTTCCTAATAACGTGGATACTATGAGTAGGAAAAGGACGCACCCGGTTAGCGCTCGGATACCGAGTCCGGTACTGTCCGCATCTCCGCCCTCCACCACAACTTGCGTCTCATTCGTAAAGTTTTCCATGAGTAGATGGTTTATTATGGCAATCCTTGAATTCAGAACCGATGTGTCTTCTGTTTAATGTGGATTTCATGGGGCTCCGTTAAATTGCTCTCTGATCATTTCCCGTTCATTGTGATGCCTCACTAACCTGTGGAATTACAGGCTTGCTTAATCGTGGGCACTTCTGTCACTTATATTTATTTTCAAACACACGGTTTTCTTTTATTTTCTTGCCATATTTCCTTTTTTCGCGAAGTAAATAATCCAAAACACGAGAATGAAAAGACACATAGCGGAGTCCGGCTTCTTTTGTGAATATTTAGGTTTTTACATTTCAAGGTTTTGGCCAAGATATATATTTATGCATTCCAGATGACAATCCTCCCTTTTGTAAAATCAGAGATTTATGATTGGTTTCCATTACTCAACGATACAGGATCCCGCCGAATAGCGACTCTCGGTGCCCGCTCTTGCCAATGAAGAACTCTCTACTAAGCATGAAAGCACATCATCCATGCCGTGCGGCATGGGCATCGTAACACTGATTATGATTATGCTCCTCTGTAATATCACTGTCTTCCCCCGTATTGCTATTCTAGTCTTGCAATTCTGCAAAGTGCAAATGTGTCCTTCATGTTTTATGCTATACTTGCTTAGTCAATTCAAATAAAATCTTATTGAAAATAACACAAATCATTATAGACTCTATGTATATATGAACATTCATTAAAGTTACTACATGCAACGAGTAAAATGATTGATAAATTTAATTATTCACATCATCTACTTAACTATCAGATATTAAGTCCTCGACTATCATTATCTGCAATTTGTCATTATTCTTAAAGAGAGTTTCCCCATTTCTCTATAACCGTATAACTGACTCCACAAAAAATAAATAATTTGATCGTTTCAACAGACCATATCAGGAGAAAATATGCCTTATTTCCAGTATTTATAGGTTTAAATGATTATTGTTTTTCCCAGAACTTCAGAGCATGGCATGAAATATCCTGCTCCAATGCTTTTATTTATACATACAGCATAACCTGTATAGCCCATATCGTACGGCAAAAGGCTAGTCTGATCATGTATATACAAACCATCTGAAAAATCGGTTTGATTGCTCTTCCATTGTGTAAACATCTATATTCTTCTGTAGACTATTTATTGACCAAAAAGAAAAAAAATACTATTTCCTTTCGCCCTCTACTGGATACAACTGCGAATGACATATTTAGCGTCAGACGAAAAATAACTTGAACAGTAAATAGACAACTGAACTTTTCTCTTGCTTTCAATACTGTCTTGACACGCATCATGCAATAAGGAACGTGTCCAAAGATGCCAGTGGACTCCCACTGAAGACTGGGAAGACAGCAGGAGGAGGTAAGGAGCATGCACTGATTACAGCACGTTACTGCACCCGGCACTGATTACAGCACGTTACTGCACCCGGCACTGATTACAGTGCGTTACTGCACCCACACGACAAACCACCTCAGGGATGAGAACCTGAGTGCAGCCATGTGGAAGGTGATACCTCAGCACCACGCTAGTCCAAATGGACCAGTGTGAGGTTTTTTCCCGGTGGCTGGAGTGACAATCCTGCACCCAACCCTCAAGTTATTCCCTATAAGATGGACAACCTCCTTATAGGGTTGGATGTGGATTAACATCATACCCAGGATGAAGCAATTGGAAGTTTAGATCAGGAGAGTTTGAAATTATACAAACAGTGTATATATACTCATTACAATTCTTGTACTGTATCAATTATTCCATCATCCATCCATCCATCAATCATCTTCCAGCTGCTTGCTAGTTAATTCATTCAGACCTTATATTACTTTAGGTCCAATGAATAATGTAGCCCATTAATTATTTTAAACCAGGATTAAGCCATAGAGGTCCTGTATCTCTTGTACCAAATGATAAAAACCAGAGTAGTGGGCATCAGATGAAAAAGAGATCAAGTCATGGAATTTGTGTGTCACAGAAGATACAATTAGATTCCAATGATTTTCTACATCCATCCATCCACCCTCTAACCATTTAACCCAGTAAAGATTGTGCAGTTTCTTAAAGCAAAGAAAAACAGTAGCTCTCCTTCAAACGCCAAAGCGAATGTAGCATGCCATTGTTGTGCTACAGGAATACAGCGGATGTGGAAAAAAATCTTGTGTTGTTCCCTGCCTTATGCCGATGGGCTCCGGACCCCCCAGCAACCCGCAATAGGATAGGCGCTTTCAGAAAATGGATTGGGGGGAAAAAATAGCAAGCATATAGCATAGAGGCAATACAAAATATATTAGGCTGCGATCAACTCAATTTAGCTGTTATATTCAGCAGATACACTATATTGCCAAAAGTATTGGGACACCTGCCTTTACACACACATGAACTTTAATGACGTCCCATTCTTAATACATAGGCTTTAATATGGAGTTGGCCCACCCTTTGCGGCTATAACAGCTTCTACTCTTCTGGGAAGGCTGTCCACAAGGTTTAGGAGTGTGTTTATGAGAACTTTTGACCATTCTTCCAGGAGAGTATTTGTGGAGTTAGACACTGAGGTTGGACGTGAAGGCTTGGCTCGCAGTCTCCACTCTAATTCATTCAAGGTGTTCTATCAGGTTGAGGTCAGGGCTCTGTGCAGGCCAGTCAAGTTCCTCCACAACAGACTCACTCATCCATGTCCTTATGGACCTTGCTTTGTGCACTGGTGTGCAGTCATGTTGGAACAGGAAGGGGCCATCCCCAAACTGTTCCCACAAAGTTGTGAGCATAATGTTCTCCAAAATGGCTTCAAATGCTGCAGCATTAAGAGTTCCTTTCACTGGAACTAAGGGGCCAAGCCCAACCCCTGAAAAACAACCCCACACCATAATCCCCCCTCCAGCAAACTTTACACTTGGCACAATGCAGTCAGGCAAGTACCATTCTCCTGGTAACCACCAAACCCAGACTCGTACATTGGATGGCCAGACAGAGAAGTGTGATTGATCACTCCAAAGAACACGTCTCCACTGCTCTAGAGTCCAGTGGCGTTGTGCTTTACAGCACTGCATCCGATGCTTTACATTGCACTTGATGTAAGGCTTGGATACAACTGCTCGGCCATGGAAACCCATTCCATGAAGTACTTTACACATTATTGTTGAGCTAATCTGAAGGCCACACGAAGTTTAAATGTCTGTAGCTATTGACTATGCAGATAGTTGGTGACGTCTGCACACTGCGTGCCTCAGCATGCGTTGTCCCCGCTCTGTGATTTTATGTGGCCTCCCACTTCGTGGCTGAGTTGCTGTTGTTCCCAATTGCTTCCACTTTGTTATAATACCACTAACAGTTGACCGTGGAATATTTAGTAGTGAGGAAATTTCATGAATGGACTTATTGCACAGGTGGCATCCTATCATGGTACCATGCCTGAATTCACTGAGCTCCTGATAGTGACCCATTCCTTCACAAATGTTTGTAGAAGCAGTCTGCATGCCTAGGTGCTTGATTTTATAGACCTGTGCTTATGGAAGTAATTGGAACTCCTGAATTCAATGATTTCTAGGGGTGTCCCAATACTTTTGGCAATATAGTGCATAACAGGCACAGCAGGACAACTAAAACACCTGCTGCAGAATTAAAGAGGAGAGAGTTTCAGAGGTATACTTAGACAGCGGCTCTCAGCCGCCCTTTAATCTCACATCCAGAGTGTCTGACTCACAATATCACACCGTGAAAACTACTCGTTAAAGTTATGGTCAGTCTCAGCCACAATGTAATGAACTAAAGACAGATCTGGAAGCTAGGTAGATTATAAGTAAACGGGCAAGGAAGTAAACCAATGATTTTCAGCTCAAACAGCTTTGACAGGAATCAGGTTTTGTAGTCTATTATTATTATTATTATTATTAATATCTGGCGTACAATAAGGTGTCAGGTCTTTTGTTTGAGTGTGACAGATGTTTGAGTAATACTTGCAGTAAAGAAACTATCTTAGATTAACCTGCCACTTTTCCAGTTCTACAGCTTGTTATTGACTCATATGACCGGGAAGGCAGAGCAAACAGCATGATACGTAAGAGACCAAACAGGGAAACCTCACCGTGCACGCATAAGCTGTTGTGAGCCGTTTTTTATACTCTAAGGAAATGGTAAAGAAATTACACCGAGTCCGACAAGACTGCATTACCACCGTTTGACCAGCAGATGTCATGATAGTGCATGTTTTCTGTCTCGCACTCTGACCGCAGCATATATGTGAGCGTGACTACGTCATCGGTGTTTCAAAATGGCCACCGTTCAGGGAGCGAGTCGAGGTGGTTACCGGTCGATGTGCTAATAATAATAATATAATTATAGTATTAAAAATCCACCGGAGACTTTTTCGGCTGATGCCCCTTTTACAAGCAAGCGTGTGGCTGTCTCGGCTCTTCTGACATGATGTAAGCGGGCGCCGTAAGATGCTGGCCGGCGCGGCGTGCGGAGGAGCAGAGCGCAGATCCGTGTTGCCCGTAGCGGCGCAGCCGCTGCGTTTTTTGTTGTGGAGCTGCAGAAGGGCGCCGTGAATGAGATGGAAGAAGCCGCACATGGAGTCCCGCTGCCGCCTTTGTCCGTCGATGTCAATGAGAATGAAGAGATCGCCAAGCGTGACGCGGCTGTCCCCGGCTCGGTAAAGGTCAGCGGGAGTCGAGTCTGTAAGAAGCCGGAGGGGTCGACAGCGGGCGGCGCTCCCACTGCCGGCGAGAGGGATGCGAACACGGCGCCCGCCGGACCGTCCCGCTGCGGCCGCGTCGGCGACGGCAAGATGCTGGGATTCATCACGGAGTGTCTGCCTGGGATTAAAGACGGCTGCGGGGGCTCGGAGCGGCGGGAGGACGCCGCGCTCAACGGCTTTGGGGAGAAGTCCGGGGGGGTAGTGGCTGGATCCGGAGGCAGAGGCGGGGGGACCGAGGGAGCTTTGACTTGGCCGGGTAACCCTTGGCGTGGGGAGGTGAACGGGATGCCGCCGGATGGGGTTTCACCGGGGGCCGGCGGTCGCTTCTACCCGGACACGGCGCCACGGTCCTCGGTGCCCCGTTCCGCGTCATGCGACGGGAGCGGCGGACGCTACGTATGCACGGCCGGTGGCGATCCCCGGCGGGGCTTGCTCGTGGGCATCGCTGACCGGCCGGACGGGGCTCCCAATGGACTTGAGGGGGAAGGGAAAGTGGCGA